AATGCTCTAGAAAACTCTCCTGGATGCTCCTTACAAATTCTGCTCCATCTAAACCCTTAACACTAAGTAAATCCCAGTCAATGTTGGGAAAATTAAAATCTCCCATCACCACCACCCTATTGCTCCTACATCTTTCCAATCTGTCTACATATTTGTGCCTCTATCTCACGCTCACTGTTGGGAGGCCTGCGGTACAGCTCCAACATTGTTACCGCACCCTTCCTATTTCTGAGCTCTGCCCATATTGCCTCACTGCTCGAGTCCTCCATAGTGCCCTCCTTCAGCACAGCTGTGGTATCCTCTTTGACCAGTAATGCAACTCCTCCACCCCTTTTACCTCCCTCTCTATCCCACCTGAAGCATCTATTTCCTGGGATATTTAGTAGCCAATCTTGCCCTTCCCTCAACCAAGTCTCAGTAATAGCAATAACATCCTACTCCAGGGTACTAATCCAAGCCCTAAGTTCATCTGCCTTATCTACTACACTTCTCACATTAAAACAAATGCACCTCAGACCACCTGTCCCTTTGCATTCATCATCTACTCTCTGCCTACTCTTCCCCTTAGTTACACTGACTTCATTATCTAGTTCCTTACAGGCTTTAGTTACTACCTCCTTACTGTCCACTAACCTCCTCATTTGGTTCCCATCCCCCTGCCACATTCGTTTAAACTCTCCCCAACAGTGTTAGCAAAAGCACCCCCTCGGACATTGGTTCCAGTCCTGCCCAGGTGTAGACTGTCCGATTTGTAATAGTCCCACCTCCCCCAGAACCGGTCCTAATGTCCCAAAAATCTGAACCCCTCCCTCCTGCACCATCTCTCAAGCCACTCATTTATCCTGCCTATTCTTTCATTTCTACTCTGACTAGCATGTGGCACTGGTAGCAATCCTGAGATTACTACCTCTGAGATCCTGCCCAAATACAACAGTTCACTCACCTTCCCAGAGTGCAATTCGACCGCTCCCACTCAGCTCCGCTGCCGAAATGAAGAACTTACCTTCCCGGCAGCCCCCTGGTCCTCGCTCTCACCGCTCCCGCTGCTGCTTAAAAAAATGGAGGCCGCTGATTCCATGAGGTAAGTATTTAAATGGGAAACTTACCTTCTTGGCAGCCCCCTGGTCCTCGCTCTCTCCGCTCCCGCTGCTGCTGCAAAAATACAGTCAGGACGGAGTTGCCCTGGAGTCCTCAACATTGACTCTGGACTGCATGAAGTCTCATGGCTTCAGGTTCAACATGGTCAAGGAAATCTCCTGCTCATAACCACGGACTGCTGTCCCTCAGCTGATAAATCTGTACACCTCCAAGTTGAACAATACTTGGAGGAAGCACTGAGGATGGAAAGGGCACAAAATTACTCTGGATGGGGGATTTCAATGTCCACCACCAAGAGTGTCTCAGCAGCAGTACTACTGATCAATTGAGTCGGATCCTAAAGGACATAGCTATTAGACTGGGTCTACATCAGATGGTGAGGTAACCAGCAAGAGGGAAAAACATACTTGACCTCATCCTTACCAATCCTCCAGCTGCAGATGCATCTGTCCATGACAGTATCAGTAAGAGTGACCACCACACATTCCTTGTGGAGATGAAGAACCACCATCATATTGAAAATACCTTCTATCATGTTGTGTCGTACAATGCTAAATGTCTCAGACTATGAACAAATCTAGCAACTCAAGACTGGGCATCCGTGAGGCACTATGGGTCACCACAGCAGAGGAATTGTACTCCAGCACAATCTGTAAGCTTATGGCCTGGCATATCCCCCACTCAACCATTACCATCAGGCCAGGAGATCAACTCTGGTTCAATGGAGAATGCAGGAGGCCATGCCAGAAACAGCACCAGGAAAACCTGAAATTGAGGTGTCAACCTGTGAAGCTACCAAACAGGACTACTTGCATACCAAACAGCGAAAGCAGCAAGTGATAGACAGAGCTAAGCAATCCCACAACCAACGGATCAGATCTAAGCTCTGCAGTCCTGCCACATCCAGTCATGAATGGTGGTGGACAATTAAACAACTCACTGGAAGAGGAGGCTCCACAAATATCCCCATCCTCAATGATGGATGAGTCCAGCACATCAGCGCACAAGATAAGGCTGAAGCTTTTGCAGCAATCTTCGGCCAGAAATGCCGAGTAGATGATTCATCTCACCTCCTCCAGTGGTCTCCAGCATTACAGAAACCGGTCATCAGCCAATTTGATTCACTCCACGTGATATGAAGAAACGGTTAGAGATATTGGATGCTGCAAAGGCTACGGGCCCTGACAACATCCCGGCAACAGTACTGAGGACTTGTGCTCCATAACTTGCTGCTCCCCTGGCCAAGTTGTTCCAGTACAGTTAAGACACTGGTATCTACCCAACAATTTGGAAAATTGCTCAGGTATGTCCTGCACGTAAAAGGCATGACAAATCCAACCTGACCAATTACCGCCCCATCAGTCTACTCTCAATCATCAGGAAAGTGATAGAAACTGTTATCAACAGTGCTATCAAGCAGCACTTGCTCAGCAAAAACGTGCTCAGTGACGCCCAGTTTGGGTTCTGCCAGGGCCACTGAGCTCCTGACCTCATTACAACCTTGGTTCAACCATGATGAAAAAGTTGAATTCCAGAGGTAAGGTGAGAGTGACAGCATTTGACATCAAGGCCACATTCAATTCGGTGGGGCATCAAGGAGCCCTAGAAAAACTGGAAGCAATGGGAATTATGAAGGAAAGTCTCCACTGGTCTTATCTGGCACATAGGGAAGTTGTTGTAGTTGTTGGAGGTCAGTCATCTCAACTCCAGAATATCTTCCAAAGGAGTCTCTCAGGGCAGTGTTTTCAATCCAACCATCTTCAGCTGCTTCACCATGGCCCTACCTCCATCATAACGTCAGAAGTGGGGGTATTTGCTGATGATTGCACCATTATCAGCACCATTCATGACGACTCCCATACTGAAACAGGCAATGTTCAAATGCGACAAGATCTGGACAATATCCAGGCTTGGGGTGACAAATGCAAAGTAACATTCGCGCCACACAAATGCTAGGCAATGACCATCTCCAATAAGAGACAATCTAACCACCACCCTTGACGTTACTGAATCCCCTGCTATCAACAATGGATTGCCATTGACAAAAACTCGCCATATAAATTTGGTGGCAGCAAGAGCAGGTCAGAAGCTAGGAATACAGTGGTGAAAAACTCACTTCCTGACTCTTCAAAGACTACAAGGCACAAGACAGGAGTGTGATGGATGGGTGCAGCTCCAACAACGCTCAAGTACCATGACACCATCCAGGACAAAGTAGCCACATGATTGGCACCACATCCACAAGTGTCTACTCTCTCCACCACTGACACTCAGTAGCAGCAGTGTGTACCACCTATAAGATGCACAGCTGACATTGCTCCTTCCAAACTCACAAGCACTACCATCTAGAAGGACAGGGGCAGCAGGTGCATGGGAACAACACCAACTGCAAGTTCTCCTCCAAACCATTCACCATCCTGACTTGGAAATATACCATTGTTCCTTCACTTTCACTGGGTCAAGATTCTGGAATTCCCTCCCTAATAGCAACTTAAACCAAGTGGATTGCAGCGGTTAAAGAATGCAGCTCACCACCACCTTCTCAAGGGCAAGTAGGGATGGGAAATAAATGCTGACTATCAGCAATGCCCAGGTCCCAAGAGAGAATTTTTTAAAAAAGCATAGAAATGGTGTGCAGGAATATTGGGAAAAGACAGGATAATAGGTGGAGTCATAATGGGCCAAATGGCCTCTTTTGCTCTCTAACAATTCTGTATTTTGTGACTCCAGTTTTACTAGGACTCCTTGATGCCGCGCTTGGCTGAATATTATCTTGAACTCAGGACAGTCACCGTTGCCTCACTGAGGGCATCGGCTCTTTTGCCCATGTTTGAACCAAGGCTATCATGAGGTCAGGAGCTGAAAGTGCCTGACAGAACCAAAACTGAGAGTCAGTGAGCATAATATTGTTAAGAAATCACTGACACCATCACTTTATTGATGATTGAGTGCAGACTGATGGGGCTGGGTTAGATTTGTCCAGCTTTTATGTGTACAGGATATATGTGGGCAGTTTAGCATAATGTCGGGTGGATGCCAGTGCTATAGCTGTATTGGAACAGCTTGACTGGGGGAGCGATATTTTTTGGAGCACTAGTCTTCAGTACTATTGCCGGTGTAACCTTTGCAGTATCCAGTGCCTCCAACCATTCATGTGGAATGAATCGAATTGGCTGAAGACTGGCATCTGTGTTGCTGGGGAGTTTGGAGCAGGCTGAGGATGGATCATCCACTTGGCACTTCTGGCTGATGAGTGTTGCAAATACCTCAGCCCTACCTTTTGCACTGATGTGCTGGGATCCCCCATTATCGAAGATGGGGATATTTGTGGAGTTATTTCCTCTGGTGAGTTATTTCATCGTCCACCACCATTCATGACTAGTGGAGACATTCAATGAGTTCAAAAAGAGATTGAATGGGTACTTGAAGGAAAAAAGATATAAGATATGGAATATAAAATATGGAATTTACAGAAACAAGTACTGGGGCCATCTAGTAATGACACAACAGGAGGTAGCCAGTCACACAAGACCCGTCTTGGAGCTATCTTCATCTATAAATTTCATGATCTGAAGGATTGAAGGATCAACTCGACTCATTCCTAGTGTAGCTGCCATAGGAATGCTGGCAGAATCAGTGATGCCAACACAGCTAAAGTAGAAGCAGTCACAGAAGTAAATTGAAAGTGCACAGTGCTACACCAAATTGGATGATATGGTCCCTCAGCATCAGAGTTATGTTCTCCTAGCTGCTTACCAATTCCACCAGCGTGTCTGCCCCACACTTCTCCACCAATCATATCTCATCTCCAAATTTCTTTTATGACCACTTCCTGAAATCAGCATTCATCACTTACAGTGCTGCTAACCACATAAACCGTACACCTCAGAAACAAGTAAATGTAGATGTCATTTTTACCAATTTATTTTATTTTTACATTTATAACAGACATAAATGTTTATTAAGTAAGATCAACATTTGTGGAACGTGGTAAAAATATATAAACTTGATAATCTAGCTGCCACGTGACAAATAGCAAGATATAGTAGAATACACTGGGAACAGTTGGAGGCCAAACTTCACCCCCTCTGCAATCTGGAATTTGAACCATGTTATGGCACAATTAGTGATGATTTGCCATATAATCATAACACAGAGAAGGGGGCCATTTGGACCATTGTACTTATGTTGGGTCTCTGAGCAATTTAATCAGATCCATTCACCTGCTTTATCCTCTAATCCTTTTCAATTAATTCCCATTTGTTGGTGAATGATTCCCTGCCTTTTCAGGCAGCACACTCCAGACGATGATAAATTGCCACACCAAGCATTGTTCATCCCTCCTACCAATTAACATAAATCGATATCCTCAAGTTACACACCCAACTGCCACTCTAATTGGTTTGTAGTCATTTATACCACCAAAATTCCATATGATTCTTAACACTGTTATCTCACGGAAACTTCTGTGCTCTAAGGAACCCCCAACTTCTCCACGTTCACTGAACATCTTCATTTCTATAAACCATTCCAAGTAAATCTCTTCTTCAGCCTGAATCTGATGCCAACAGATTAGCTCATCTAGTGTGAGGAGGACCTGCAGTCCTTTCTGCCATTCAATGAGATCATGGCTGACTGGTACCCCAACTCTATTTACCTGCTTTTGCTCCACTGTCTCTTAATATCCTTACCCAACAAAAATATCCTAAGATCAAGTGCAAAAACTTTGGAGCGACCCTGAATGTACAGCTTTGAGGAGCAAATTCCAGATGCCTGGTGGCCTTTGGGTAAAAACAAAGGTGTTTCTTGTTGTTGATGCTGGATAACTTGGCTCTAATTTTCAAATTGTGCTCTAAACGGTGAATGGAAATATGGATAATTTTACTTTTCACTTCTACTGATGTGTAAATCAGAGCTTTCTCTGGATCAGTAAAAAATATTCAGTAACCATGTACACGTGCGTATGGTGCAGTTGATATTAGAGTCCATTTTGTAATGTAAAATGGTGCCTAACAGATGCCAATTATAATTGTTCAGAATGTGAAAACCTTACAAATTCTAGACTTGAATCTGAAACCCTGCCCTGAGAGTGAAGTTACCTACAGAGGAAGTGACCATTTGGATACCATTGCTGTTTCCCAGCATCCCTTATGGTTTTGTGCCTGTTACCATTGCATTGTGCCACACCCCTACACTAGATCACCAATGAGAATCTCCGTTGTTGTCAGGTCCAAATGAGGTACCCAGGGAGACAGGAGGCTTGATATTTGATACTTCCAGTCCTCATGGATGGTAGGATATTAATAATGGACTGAACTTCCTCTCTTGGTTGGTGCACTGATTGTCAGTTGCCATGGTTACCAGTGGCCCTCTCCCCTTGACCTGTCACACCAGCTGAGCATGATGCTCATTCTTTCCTGTCTTCTTGTTCACTATCATTGCATGGCAATGTTCCCTAGGAGTGTGTCCACAAGAAAATGAGCTCCACTCACAAGAAGTGAAGTTCTTTGGTAAGGCACAAGCTTTATCCTGATGTGTGATAACTGACATAATCTGTGTTGTTGATGAAAGTCCATTTAACACTGCATCTTTGCTGAATCTTTGAGAGCAGACTGAGGAAAAAGGGAAACTTGATGAAGGTGTCTCCTCCAAACTCGGCGTACACTGTCCTGAGTGTCACAGCTAGCTTGCCACAGAATTCACTTGTGAAGCATGTCCTCCATGGTCACTCGTCCCCAGCTACCGAGGATGAAGGTTTCAATATCACACTCATTCTCACCCCGAGCAATCCTGAAGTAACCATTCTCGCCCCAATCCCTTCCCCAAGAGTTAGCAGCAATCTGGAACAGAAAGAAAGAGGAAGACATCAGCCCACATTCCTCAGCCCTTCCAGTAACAACTTTCCAGCATCATTTCCCATCTTCCGCAATGTGTCCATCCACTCTCATGTTTCAGAAATGTAAAGGAGGGCCTGACATGCGAGAGAATGAAGGACACTGCAGAGGCAGCCTATTTAGCTTATTCAGCATTTCAATGCATGTTCTTGACCCCAAAAGGAATGGAAAATACAAATGGCCCAACACACTCTGGGCCTGATAGAGGACAGACATTAGCCAGCATTTCCAGTAGCATCATTGCTAATTAGGCCCTGTTTACAGGAGGACATCATGTGAGAGACAGTCAAAACAAAAGTTCCCAGAATTGAAAAGATTTTTATTTCCTCTTTCATGGGAGGAGGGCTTTACTGGCTGGACCAGCATTTATTTACCCATCCCTAGCTGTCCTTCAGAAGGTGCTGCCTCTCAAACAGTCACAGTCCTTGTGATGTCAGGACCCAGCACCCAGAGTGCTGTTAGGAAGGAAATTCCAGGATTTCAACCCAATGACAGGGGTGGCACGGTGGCACGGTGGCTCAGTGGTTAGAACTGCTGCCTCACAGCACCAGGGACCTGGGTGCAATTCCACCCTTGGGCAACTGTCTGTGTGGAGTTTGCACATTCTCCCCGTGTCTGCGTGGGTTTCCTCCGGGTGCTCCGGTTTCCTCCCACAGTCCAAAGCTGTGCAGGCTAGGTGGATTGGCTATGCTAAATTGTCCGTAGTGTTCAGGGGTGGGTTATGGCGGGGGTGGGTCGGTATGGATTTGTTGGGCCGAAGGGCCTGTTTCCACGCTGTAGGGATTCTATTCCATGATAAAGGAATGGCAATATATTTCCAAGTTAGGAAGGCAAGTGATCTGGAATAGATTTTGCAGGTGGTGGTGTTTCAATCTATCTGCTGCCCTGGTCCTTCTAGATGGTACAGGTTGTGAATATAGAAGATGCTATCTGAGGAACCTTGGCGAATTGCAGCAGTACATCTTGTACATGGTGCACTCAGCTGTTACTATGTGTCAGTGGTACAGGAAGTCAATGAATAAAGTCGTGCAGGTTACTGATCAAGCAGGCTGCTTTATCCTGTTTGGTCTTGATCTTCCTGAATGATATTGTGCATTGTGGATCAATTACAGGTTGTTGTTGCAGGATGCCTAAAAAAAAACAATCTGTGCGCTTTTCAAGAGAAGACCTAAAGTTGCTGAAGTTATACGAAGAGATTGGGCACCCCTTTGAATAAGGCCTGAAGACATCATTAGGCGAGTTAATTGAGTTTTGGGAGAGGACAGGTACCCTTTGGAACTATGAAAAGTAGAGAGGAATGTGTGTTGAAAAGTAGACAAACTGATTGGAACTACCAAACTCATTGAAAATGTTGAGCTGTCACATTAACTGTCAACCTGTCAAGGGAGTTGTGAAGCTCATTGGAAGGGTTAAACTGCAGTTTTTAAAAAAAAAATATCAGAGCTTGCTATTGCACTCTTTCGATGACAAGAAGGCAGGTTATGATCTGGCTGTTGATAGGTTGGGAAACAGGGGGGATGCAATGAGACCAGGGTAACCTTGTACACCAGTCGCTGAAAGTTAGCACGCAGGTGCTGTAGGCAAAGGCGGCAAATGGTATGCTCGTCTTCATAGCGAGAGGATTCGAGTACAGAAGCAGAGATACCTTGCTGCAATTGTCGTTGGTTAGACCACACCTGTGGTATTATGTGCAGTTTTGGTCTCCTTTTCTGAGGCTGAATGTTCTGACTATGAAGGAAGTGCAACAAAGGTGTACCAAACAGATTTCTGGGATGGTGGGATTGACATATCAGTATCAGTATATTGACATATCAGACACTGTATCAGTTTGGATTATATTCATTGCAGTTTAGAAGAATAAAAGGCAATCTCATAGAAACTTATAAAGTTCTACCAGGACTATACAATATGTTCCTGATGACTGGGGAGTCCAGAATCAGGGGTCACAGTCTAAGGATACAGGTTAGGCCATTTAGTACTGAGATGGGGAGAAACCTCTTCACTCAGTGAATGATGAGCTTGTGGAATTCTCTGTCACAGAAAGTGGTTGAGGCCAAAACAGTGAATGTTTTCAAGAAGTTAGATATGGTTCTTACGGCTAAAGCGATTGAAGGGCATGGGAAGAAAGTGGGAACAGGGTACTGAGTAAAATGATCAGCCATGATCATTACTGAATGGCAGAGCAGACTCAAAGGGCCTACTGCTATTCATATTTTCACAACCTATCATTATTCACAGTGAGGAGCCGATCTGTTCGCAGCTTGACCCACAGCTCCAAATGGTTATACAGTCATTGAAGTAGGGTTATGAATACATATGGTTATTTTCTTTTAAAGACATTAAGCTATTGGAGGAATTTCAATGTTCAGACATTTAAAACAATTTTTTTTTTAATAAAATGAAGTCATAAATAGAAACAAAGGTTTATTTCATCTCACATGGGCCCAGAGGTAAAAGGGAAATGATAGGGGTTGTATGGTATGGGTTGGCATTAAGGAAACATAGGAATACAAAGGGCAATTGAGTCAGAAGGGCATACATGGCATAGATCAGTAGAGATGGCTTGAGGGGTGGATGGGGCCTGAGCCCGGCATTGATGGAGCATAAGGAGAGAGCGCGCGAGAGTGTGAGAGGTCTCTGTGGTCTGTGTGTGTCGTCTGTGCGTCTCACAAAGTGTCAGGGGGAGGGTGTGATGGCTGCTTTTTTTCCCCTTCCTTTGTTTCTTAAACTTGGGACAAAAGTCGTGGATCACCAGGGTCAGCATTTACACAGCCAGCCTCGGTATCAAACAATCCCAGGGACTATCGTTAAACTCTTTATGAGGGGGGGAATGGCAGGCCTGACTTCTGTTCACACCTGCCCAACCTCAGACTGCTGGGGAACATTCTCTAGAATTCATTTTGATGAGTTGATTTTTTTTTTTACTCAAGAGCAACAAATCAGGTCTCCATACCATCCCTGCCATTGGAGTGCCAAGGGAGCTCACTTTCAGTTTAAAACAGTAGAGGAAGTTTTACTCGGTATCTACCCCCATGCTGACCTTGTCCAGAGTGTTTGGTGGGGACTGTGGGTACCTGAAATGAGAGGGATTTCTATAATCCTTTTTTAGCAAATACAGCCTTGTCTCCAAATGAAAAGCTGAGCTTTGTTTCAACATGCTCAACATTCAGATTAAGACAACAACCCCTGCTGAGTGTGATATGTTATTTTCAGTTCCAACTAGGTCTTTTACTGTTGTTTTATTTCATAATGTATTGAGAATCTCCAGTGTATCAAATACTCAAATGTCTTGATCTGTGATGATGGTGCAGGTAAACATTTCAACATTGACCTAGGGGCAAATAACTGTCTGTCAGTTCCCCATCCGATCACTTGCTACACTTAAAGGTGGCAACTTCAGCTGCCACAGTCACCCTCCAGCACCATATCGTCCTTGCCCATTTTTCATGGAAACAATGAGGTGCCATAGGCTATTCATCTGCGATGGACATCTTGGCTGGTCTCCCACCTCTCTTTCCTTACCTACCTTTCCAATGCACATTTGCAATGTACAGCGAAGTCCTGGCTCATTCTCATTCTCACATGGTGATCTTTTGCTCCCCACTCTGCTACTCAGTTTAAAGTAGTAGAGAGAGCTTTACTTTCAGTTTCAAAGAGTAAAGAGAGCTTCATTCTGTATCTCCTTTCTGTTTCAAGATAGCGACAGCGGAGTAGGCAGCGTTCGGGCTTCTCAGCCTGGGGCTTGCCAATCTGTCCGCTTTGTTTTTTTCCCCCCTTTTCTTTCTCTCTCTTTTTGTTTTCTAGGATTTAAATATTTTTTTCCTGATAAGAAAACTTACCTTGGAGCAGATTAGAGCCGGAGTGGAACGGGCTGAAGGCCTGGAGCGGTGTGGAGCAGGGGTGGTTTTTGGACTGGGGTCTGGCACAGGCGGTCAATGGCTTGCAAGGCTGGTCAGACCATGTGTGGAAGCCCCTGCACTGAGCTACTGCAATGTAACATTTATCTGCAATTTGTTTCTGACTGTAACTATGTTTTATTTATACTATGAATCACTGTAAGGTAATGCAACTTCTTTTCATTTTTACTCCTCTTGTTGTATCTAAGATTTGTACCTAGGTACCTTATAGCTAAGATGGTGCCATGAGAGGCGACATTGAAAACTTTTCACTGTACTCCTGTACTTGAGTACACGTGACAATAAAGGATATTCTATTCTATTTTTAGGGTCTTTGATGGGGATGGTGTAGAGAGAGATTTATTTTCAGTTTAGAAGAGTAGAGGGAGCTTTATTTCCCCTTTTAAAGATTAGAGAAAGCTTTACTCTTAACCACGTGTTGCCCCGTCTTCGGAGTGTTTTATATGGACTGTGTTGAGGCATACTTACTTTCAATTTAAAAGAGTAGAAGAAACTTTACACTGTATTTAACCCCACGTTGTCCCTGTCCAAGGTGTTTGATGTGGACAGTGTCATGATAGCTTTACTTTGTTTACTTTAAATTTAAGAGAGTACAGGTAGCTTCACTCTGTATCTAACCAAATGCTATATCTATCCTGGCTGTTCTTGATGGGACAGTGTAGAGGAATCTTTACTCTGTATCTAACCCTGTGCTGTCCTATCCTGGGAGTGTTTGATGGGGGACAGTATAGAGGAATCTTTACTCTGTATCTGACCCCGTGCTGCACCGTGTCCCAGCGGACTCTTACATTCTAATTGGGATAAAAAGAACGTTATTGTGTTGTGCGCATGGTTGTGATTTCCACATACCCAGTATTGGCGAATCTGTCCATCATGTCCTTGCTCTTCACCCCACCTACAACAAGAAACACAAAGAAACAGTTTTCTGATTAGAATAGAATTTCAAACTCAAACAACAGAGCTCTACTTCCACCTTGTCTAATCCATGGAGGAAAGGTCCCCATTGATTTGAGAGTCTTCTCCTCCTCCTGGGCAGAATTTACACAGTCAGCTGTTCTAACACCAATGGGGGTGTACAGGCCTCAGAGGAACCTAATCAACAAACATTCATAGAATCCCTATACTGTATGAAAGCAGGCCATTCAGCCCACTGAGTCCTCACATTAATGAAGATAGGGCCAAAGTCAGGCAGCTTTCCTTAGCCACTGAAAGAAGATGAACCAGTGAAGTTGATATCAGGTGGGAATCAGGAGTGTCAACCCTTTTTGAGAGAAAGTAAGACTTCTTTTTATATAGCGTCTATCATGACAAAGAGATATCTCACAACCATATAGTCAACAAAGTACAAACATTGATGTGATCATGGTGAGATCATTGGCATGGACGCTGGGGAAACTGCCCCATCTGTGTGCTGTAGGATTGTCGACCTGAGTGTAGACAACGATACTATCATTTCACAAATGGCACAACAGGCAGTACAGCACTCCCTCAGCAGTGGAAGCCTAAATTGTGTGTTCAAGTACGGCCTGCATTCAAACATTTTGGCTCAGAAGCACAAATGATTTTACCCAAGGACAAAAACAGAAGTTGCTGGAAAAGGTCAGCAGGTCTGACAGCATCTGTGAAGAAAAATCAGAGTTAACATTTCAGATCCGCTGACCCTACCTTAGAACTGATGGTAAGATTCAGGAATGCCATGTTGATGTTCTGGGCATGTTGATATAGGTGTTGGGTGTCTTGAAAAACATTAAGGTAGATATGTTCCCACGGTCTGATGGGATCTATCCCAGGATACTGAAGGAGGCATGGGAGCAGATTGCTGGGGCCTTGACAGAGATTTTTGTATCCTTTCTTAGCCACAGGTAAAGTCCCAGAAGACTGCAGAATAGTTAATGTTGTTCCTTTATTTAAAAAGGTCAACAAGGATAATCCAAGAAATTATAGGCTGCTGAGTCTTACATCAGGAAAAGGGAAATTATTGGAAAAGATTTTTAGAGACAGGATTTACTCACATTTGGAGAAGAATGGACTTTTTAGGGATAGCAGGGCTTTATACTAGGTGGTTTTGTCTCACAAAGTTCTTTGAGTGTTTTGAGGAAGTAACAATGATGATTAGGACATAGAACATAGATCAGTACAGCACAGTACAGGCCCTTCGGCCCACGATGTTGAACTTTTACCCTAAACCTAAGGTCTCTCTAACCTCCACCCCTACCTTATACTATCATCCATATGCCTATCTAATTGCCGCTTAAATGCCCCTAATGAGGCCGACTCCATTACCTCTCCGGCAATGCATTCCACGCCCCTACCACTCTCTCAGTAAAGAACCTACCTCTGATGTCTCCCCTATATCTATCTCCACTTACTTTAAAACTATGCCCCCTCATAATAGCTACCTCCACCCTAGGAAAAAGTCTCTGGCTGTCCACTCTATCTATACCTCTGATCATTTTGTACATGATTGATGAAGGTAGAGCAGTGGATGTTGTCTACATGGACTTTGACAAGGTCCTGTGTGGTAAGGTGATCCAGAAGATGAAGTCACAAGGGATCCATGGTGAGTTGGCAAGTTGGATACAAAACTGACTTGGTCATGGAATACAGAGAATAGTTGTGTTTTTTCCTGACTGGGGGCCTATGACCAGTGGTATTCCAGAAAGATCAGTGCTGGGGCTGCCATTGTTTGTAATATATAAATGATTTGGATTTGTTGATGGTCTAAATAGTAAGCATCCAGATGACATGAAAATTGGTGGTTTGTGGATAGTGAGGAAGGTTCAAAAAGAATACAGCAGGATGTAGATAACACAGTGTGGAGCTGGAGAACACAGCAGACCAAGCAGCAGCAGAGGAGCAGGAAAGTTGACGTTTTGGGTCAGGACCCTGCTGTGTTCCTCCAGCTCCACACTGTGTTATCTCTGACTCCAGCATCTGCAGTTCTTACTATCTCACAGCAGGATATAGATCAGTTGGAAAGTTGGGTGAAGAAATGGTAAGGTTAAGGTGAGGTTGTGCATCTTCAGAAGTCAAATGCAAGAGGAAAGTGTATAGCAAATGGTCAGACCCTTAGGATTGCTGATATACAGAGGGTTCTTGGAGTGCAAGTCTGTAGCTCCCTAACAGTGGCAACACAAGTGGATTAGGTGGTAAAGAAAGCATGCTTACCTTCATCAGTTGGGGCATTGAGGATAAAAGTTGGTAAGTCATGTTGCAGTTGTAGAAGACTTTAATTAGGCCACATTTGGAGTATTGTGTGCAGTTCTGATCCCCACACTATAGGGGGACGTGGAGGCTTTGGAGAGGGTGTAAACAGGGGTTTAACCAGGATGTTGCCTGGATTGGAGGGTATTAGCTAAAAAGAGAGGTTGGACAAAATTGGATTATTTTCATTACAGCGTCAGAGGCTGAGGGGCGACCTGATAGAGGTATATAAAATTATGAGACGCATGGATAGGGTGGATTGTCAGAGTCTTTCCTAGCGTGGAAAGTCAAATACTAGGAACCATAGTTTAAGTTGAGAGGGGAAATGTTTAGAGGAGATATGCGGGGAACAGAGTGTGGTAGGTCCCTGGAATGTGTTGCTAGAGGGCGGTGGTAGAAGCAGATATGACAGCAACGTTTAAGAGGCATTTAGAAAGACACAAACAGGCAGAGAGGCATCCGGACCACATGCAGGCAGATGGGATTAGTTTAGAATGGCATCATGGTCAGCATAGACATGGTGGGCTGAAGAACCTGCTCCTGCACTGTACTGTTCTATGGAAGTATTCCTCAATGAAAATCAGGGCAGCAATAGAGAGGTTTGGGAAATGCGTTGAATTGGTAACATGTCCAGCTCAGTCCAAAGTTAAAACGTGATAACTAAGGTTGTGATTTAATTCTGTTCATTCAGACAGTTTCAGTTAACACTCTTATCCAGGTAGAACACAGATCACTACAGCACCGTACAGGCCCTTCGGCCATTAGGTTGTGCCGACCTATTATCCTACAAAGATCAAACTACCCTGCATACCCTACATTTTACTATCCTCCAAGTGCCTATCCAAGAGTTGCTTAAAAGTCTCTAAAGTATCTGATTCCACTACCACCGCTGGCAGCGCCTTCCACACACCCACCACTCTCTGTGTAAAGAACCTACCTCTGACATTTCCCCTATACCTTCCTCCAATCACCTCAAAATTATGTCCCCTCATAATAGTCATTTCCGCCCTGGGAAAAAGTCTCTGACTATCCACTTTATCGATGCCCCTCATCATCTTGTACACCTCTATCAAGTCACCTCTCATCCTTCTTCACTCCAATGAAAAAAGCCCTAACTCCCTCAGTCTTTCCTCATAAGACCTGCCCTCCAGTCCAGGCAGTATCCTGGTAAATCTCCTCTGCACCCTCTCGAAAGCTTCCTCATCCTCCTATAATGAGGTGTCCAGAACTGAATACAATATTCCAAGTGTGCCTCGTGAGATGGCAGTAAGTTTTCCTTGAGGTTTGGGGATCAGGAAAATGGAAGTTTAGACAAATAAATCCTTCCTCATTCTGCTCGTTGATGAATTTCCTTCTCAAATTGAAAAGCAAGTATTTTGAGATAGTGAAGGTTGCACGTCTTAAAGACTGAACCATATAAACTCTGGCCCCAATGTTTTTGCACCAGTTCCAGTTTTAGCTTCTTGGTGAGAGAAAGGAAAAGATGAATCCATTTTTCTTCTGTTCATTAAGCTCATTTTCTGCTGACAACAGCTGGAAGGAGTTAACCCCCAGCTGGAGGTCACTGTGCAGACTCCATCCTGAGATCCAACACAATACAGGCAGAAACCAGTATTTCCTGCAGATCTCTGCAGAGGGACTCCACCTGCTACAAGGCTGGAGGAGACAGCTAAGCTGTAAGTCACTTATTTCACTGGAATCTTTCCTCAGATTGCAAAGGCCACCCTCTGTATGTTTATCAAATGCCATATCAGCAGAAAGAACAGACATTCAATTCTCCTCACTTCCCCATACAAACACAACAGCATTAGCCCCAGATAATGATAAACAAATGCAATGCAGAATCCTTCACTGTGCACGACTGAAACAGAACAAATTTTATCACAGCAGATTTCACAATTAATGGAACACAGCAAACCACAGGCCTTGGCATCACACTTAGTACTAGAATCTCAGTGGCAGTGATTACACCAACATGGGGATCTCGGTCAGTGGCAGTGAGTAAACTGACATGAGGATCTCTAGTTTCTCCAGGCTGAGCTCCTTGATCTTCAGCTCACCATCTGAAGTGACAGTGAAAGCAGATTCGATAGGAATGTTCAAAAGTGAATTTTAGATACACTTAAAAATCAAAAAACATCAGAACTATGGAGAAGGAAGAGGTGAGTGGTCCTTACTGAATAGTTCTATCAAAAGGGGTAACACAAGGACAATGGTCTGAGTGACCTCCTCCTGCGCTATATGATGACATGATTCTCTGTCAGTGACTAGAAGGCCTGAAATTCCTGACAGTGATGCATACAGTTTACAGAGTTATACACCATGGAAACAGACCTTTCGGTCCCACTCATCCTTGCTGACCAGATATCCTAAATTAATCTAGTCCCATTTGCCAGCATTTGGCCCATATCCCTCTAAACCCTTCCTATTCATATATCCATCCAGATGCCTTTTAAGTGTTGTAATTGTACCCGCTTCTACCACCTCTTCTGGCAGCTCATCCCATGCACACCAGTTTTGTGTTATGGAAGGTTATTGATGGTATAATCAGGTATCAGCAGCAGACACTCCAGAAACAACAGATTTTACCTCAGAACTTTCTAATGAGCAGAGAAGAGATTATATCCTTGTCCATCTGCTCTGTATTCAAATCCAGACTCTAATTGTGAGTATCCAGTGTGTGAGCCACCATAATCTTTCCTCACACTGCTGTAACAGGGAATGCAGCTGTATATCATTTCTGTGGAATGGAATAATGTTATCACTTGCACGTAGACAAAACAGCTCAGTGTTGCTGGTCTCACTCATGCATTAAATCAGTCAAGGCAATCTTGGTCATATGCAAAAAGTGGAAAATGTTTTAAAATAGTTGGCTGTACAGACCAGGAGATTAAAATGCAACAGTTAATACTTGACTATTTTGATTGATATTAGTATGTACAGAAAACCATTGTATTGTTGATCTTTTATTTATTAGTGTCTTTCACTCATTTTCAGACTCATTTCCATGTTCCTTGAATGGAATATTTTTACCTTTTAACTTGCTTTCCTTTTAACTCTTTTAGCTGTTGTCCTAATTCATTGGCATAAATTGTTTTGATTCATCGCAAACTACTTTCTCTCCATTCAGAAGCACATCCTTTTCCCACTGACATGATTCTGGAACTTATTGACACTCTTGTCTTTATTAGTTGCCCAATCTGGCCTGTATTTTCTACATATCACATAGAGCTGGAACACCTACTTTTATCTGATTTGTCCCCATCATGACATAAAGCTGCTTCTTTCTAATCTATGTAGGAGCAAATTACTACAGATGCTGGAATCTGTACTGAAATCAAAAAATGCTGGGAGATCACAGCAAGTCAGGCAGCATTCATGGAGAGACAGCAAGCTAATGTTTCAAGTCTAGACGATTCTGTATCAGAACCGATGAAGAGTCACTTAGACACGAAACATTAGCATTTTTTGTTTTCAGTAGTCTTTCTAACCCATGCCATGCTTTGGCCTATTTGTGCCTGGACTTCAAAGGCTTGACTAGACCTTCCCTCTATTGGTTCCCATCAAGAACATGAAATGGCACAAGAATTCCTGTCGAGGAACATGGAGAAGTCTGAAAGAGTGAGTGAAAGGCACTGATAAATTAAAAGATGGAGACTACAATAATTCCCAGTACATGCTAATATCAAGCAAAGTGTTTCTAGTTGAGGTTTAGTTATTGCATTTTAATCTCCTCGTCTTAAAGTCAACTGTTGAAATATTGCTCTATTTTATATGTGAACAGAATTGCCTTTGACTGAATATAAGACAGTGAGGCAATTGTATCAATTATGAGAATGTTGTTTTGAATCCCTGTGAATTGCCAATAATTCTTCTTGGATTTCATTTTACTTGGACCAAGACCCCACACCAATCATTCCTTACCCTGTGATTTTAACCGAATGTGTCCCATGTCTGCGGAATGTCTCTGGTTTTTCAGCCATTACTGGTGTGTGTCTGTAAACTCCGCTCCTGTACACAAAGAAGTCTTCATGTACTTCCATCAATGCTGTGAGAGGACACAAGAAGAGTAAGTGTTCATTCTCCAAACTCATCACAACCTCCTCATCATTCTCACTGTAACCTCACTGAAAACAAACCAGTATTCCTGCATAATCTCACCACATTCCCACTGCACTATTCCCACCCACTATCAATTACTGTGGCCTTGACACAAAGAAAGGATCTAAAATCACACCATTAATGGCAGGAAGTGAAGGAGATGCTAATTAGTTTCAAATGTGGATTAATAGAGAAGTCAGTGCTCCACCAAACGGAGCTGACACACAGAGGGACAAGCAGTCAGCACAGAGTTCGAGTGGCAACTGCATCAATTCATCCAAAGTCGAGAGTTAAGAATGATCAAATCATTTGCCTACACAGTTCATCAGCAGCAACATTCTCAAAAGGTCAAGAAATAGTCTAACCCTAACCTGGGGCAGCACAATGGCTCAGTGGTTAGCACTGCTCCCTCAGTGCCAGGGACCCAGGTTCAATTTCACCCTCGGGTGACTGTCTGGGTGGAGTCTGCACATTCTCCCCGCATCTGCGTGGGTTTCCTCCGGGTGCTCCAGTTTCTTCCCACAGTCCAAAGATGTGCAGGTTAGGTGGCCTGGCCATGCTAAAGTGCCCATAGTGTCCAGGGGATGTGTAGGTTAGGTGGGTTAGCTGTGGGAAATGGAGGGTTACAGGGATAGGTTAAGGGGTATGAGTCTGGGTGGGATGCTCTTCGGACTGTCGGTGTGGACTTGTTGGGCCGAATAGCCTGTTTCCACACTGTAGAGATTCAATGAATTCATAGGTAATCCACCAACTGAATTACTCCTAATTGGCATAGAATCTATTAGTTCCATGCTGAGGAGCGTATACGGTCTGGGTTTAAAATCTTGTGACAGCAGTATCGCCCCCACAGTACTGCATTGGGACTGCCAGGTGACCATTTCAAATCTCTCCAATGAGACCTGATTCCAAAATCTTCTGACTGACATGCAAGAATTCTATTAACAAAGGCACAGGTAATATGGAAATATGAGTAGTGGGATATAATCACACCATGTTGTGATGCAGGGTATGCCAGAGACAGCAGTACAGCAAGGGCTGCAGGGTATATCCCTGCATTACAGCAAGGGCTGCAGGGTATATCTGGGTAACAGTGAGGGGCTATTATATTTTTGTTGTACTGTATTTAAAGGTCTCTCCATCTCCTGAGTTGACAAACAATGAGAAATTGAGCTCAGTCTAATTATATTGTATTTCCTACCTTGCACAGGCCCATTCTCCATTATTTCTTTCATGATTTCCTTGTCCTGTTGAATAAATATTTAATTACATTAGAATAAATTCAAAACCCTTCATTGATCTCTTGCTCACATAATAATCACTTGTACAAAACCAAACCTCACAACTGGGTTGCTCCCACACACTGGCAAAGAACAGGGACATGGAGCAGCTCCAAGGAGGAAACGGTGACTCACTCAGGAGGGAAGCCTGACCCAAATGGAAAAAGGAATTTGTCAGTCACCCAGTGCTGCACAGCAGCCCATCTGAAAGAGAGATTCCTGGCAGTGGGATAAAGTTGGCTTGATAGAGACAAAGCATGAGATTGTTGTTTCAACCTTTAATGGAATAACAAGGTGAAGTGAATTGTGAAAATTGGTAGGTCAGAGTGTGGGTGAATGATGATATTCAATGAGGATATGAACTGGCTTATTTTGATAGCACCTTCCTCCTGCAGCTTCACTGATAGCGAGTTCCAAGAGCCTGAAGAGAAGAGAGGGGTTGGGCCAACAATACCAAAGTACTCACATTGTTAGAGAGGCGGTAAGGCGGAGTGGCTTGATAGATCTGGTTTGTGTGGCTGTAGGGATTGGGACAAGGCATCGTTGCCTGTCTCTTGCCACGGCCAGCTGAGCGAGTGGACATCATACACTGGCTGCTAAGTTGCTGCTTCTCAGAGTTGGAGAATGGGTAGCAGGCATCTGACACCACCCTGCAAGGAACAAAACAGAAAGAAGTGAACCCAGAGCTTCAAACAAGGAATATCAATCAAGGTTATCCATTAGCAAATCACCAATTATCCAAACCTAATCAGTGAATGGGTGAGAAGGTCATGGCAAGGGTTAATGATTTCCAAATGTAAAGTCACTGTTCTGATCCTAAAAGTTTAGTTTAAACTGAGCTGTAGAACATAGATTGAACATAGAACAGTACAGCACAGTACAGGCCCTTCGGCCCACGATGTTGTGCCGAACTTTTACCCTAATCCTAAGGTCTATCTAACCTCCACCCCTACCTTATACTATCATCCATATGCCTATCTCATAGCTGCTTAAATGCCCCTAATGAGGCAGACTCCACTACCTGTTCTGGCAATACATTCCACGCCCCTACCACTCTCTGAGTAAAGAACCTACCTCTGACGTCTCCCCGTGTCTACCTCCACTCACTTTAAAACTATGCCCCCTAATAGCTACCTCCACCCTCGGAAAATGTCTCTGGCTGTCTACTTTATCTATACCTCTGATCATTTTGTACACCTCTATCAAGTCACCTCTCATCCTTCGTCGTTCTAAAGAGAAAAGCCCGAGCTCTCTCAACCTTTCCTCGTAAGATCTTCCCTCCATTCCAGGCAACATCCTGGTAAATCGCCTCTGCACCTTTTCCAATGCTTCCACATCTTTCCTGTAATGAGAAGACCCGAACTGGAAACAATACTCCAGATGTGGCCAAACCAGGCCTTTGTATAGCTGGAGCATAACTTCACGGCTCTTGAACTCAATCCCTCTATTAATGAAAGCTAACACACCATACGCCTTCTTAACAACTGGGCTGATACGGGGCAGATGAGATTCAATGCAGAGAAGTAAGAGGCCACTTTTGGTCAAGAACATTGAAAGACAATATAAAATAATGGGCACAATTCTAAGGGGGATGGAGGAGCAGAGGAACTTCAGTGTATATGAGTATTGATCATTGAAGGTGACTGGACAAGTGGAGAGAGCAATTAATAAAACATACAGTATCCTCAGCTTTATTAATAGGAGCGTGGAGGTAATGTTGAGCTTGAACAGGACACTTGTTAGACCTCAGCTGGAGTATTGTGTATAGTTGTGGCCAGCACATTAAAGGAAAGATGTGAACACATTGGAGTGATTTCAGGAGAGATTTGTAAGAATGATTCCAGGAATGAGAAACTTCAGCTATTAGAACAGATTGAATAAGTTGGGATTGTTGTCCTTGGTCAGAAGGTGGCTGAGTGGAGAGTTGATAGACATTTTCAGAAATCATGAGCAGGCACGATAGAATAGGTAGGGAGAAGCTGTTCTTCTTCATAAAAGACAAAAAGAACGAGAGGGCACAGATTTAAAGTGATGTGCAAATTATGCAAGAGTGATGCAAGAAAAACAAACTTTTTCACACAGCTAGTAGTTAGGGTTTGGAATGCAGTAGGTTCAATTGAGTCATTCAAGAGGAGCATTGGATGAGTATTTGGATAGAAATAGTGTCCAGGGATATAGGGAAAGGCAGGAGGATTGGCACTAGGTAATAGGTGTGGGGCAGACAGGATTAGCTGCGTGGCCTCCTTCTACACTCAAACAATTCTGTGATTGTCCAATCAAGAGTTGATGATCTGGAGGCAGCCTACTTGTTCCTCTTTGAAGTCCAGCCATGTCTCAGTGGTAGTACTTTCAGCAGCAGAAAGGCACAGTTTTAATCCCACAGAGACTTGAGTATATGATCCACGGCCAACACTTCCAGTGTAACTGAGGGAGGGCTACTTGGCGAGAGGTACTCGAGTCTGAATGAAGCATTAAACTGAGGCCCTGAAGCCTCTCTCAGAATCAAAAGACTCCATGGCATAGAAGAGGGCATTCTCCTCAGCACATTGGACAATATTTATCAATCAGCTAACATTGCAAAGAATAATTATCCAGTCATTATGTCACTGCAGCCTGTGGGACCTTGCTACATGCAAATAGGCTCTTGTCGTTCCTCCAACATAATTGTAAAAGTCATTCATTGACCATGAAGTTTTTGGAGCATCCTGAGGTTGTGGAAGGTGCTATAAATTGCAAATTCTTTCCTTTGTTTAGAAAAAAAACACTGAAATTTGTAGTGGCCTTTAATGTAGCATAATCTCAAAGTGCTACATGATAACTTGCGAGCCAATGAATGAAATATGTAAAAGGATGAACAAAGGTGGAAGGGGTGCCTTTAACAGGAGAGTCTAATGGGAGCAGAGAGGGGCCAGGAAAATGGAGAGGCCAAGTAGCTGAAGACAGAGCCTGAAATGACAGAATTAAAAGAGTATCCAAAGAGCCAAAATGAGCAAAATGCAGATCTCGGAGATGACTGCGATGCTGGAGGAGATTATAGAGAGAGGAGGGGTGAGGTTATGGAGCGATTTACAAATATTAGTTTCAAATGGAGGCATTCATTCACTGGGAGACTGTACAACTGGCCACTGGAAGATGGGAAGTTGGCCAGGAAGACATTGGAAAAGTGGAGTCTGGAGGGAACAAAAACATCGAAACTGGTTTCAGCAGTAGATAAGTAGAGGCAGAAGAGGAGCCAGACAAATGGAGGGAGCTTGTCCTAATGTGGGGAATAAGGGGCATTGGAAGTTCATCTCAGGGTCTCAGGACCCTTGGCTTACAGTCTGCTTCAGCCTGGAAGAATGGCAAGAGGGGGGTTAGCGTTTATGGAGAGGAATGGATTTTGTTGTGGGGACTGATTTTTAATCGAGGTAATGTCCTAAGCCCAATTACCTTCAGCTGCTTCATCAATAACCTTCCCTCCATCAAAAGGTCAGAAGCGGGATGTTCGCCAATGATTATGCAATGTTCAGCATCTTTCGCGACTCCTCAGATACTGAAGCAGTCCACGTTCAAATGCAAAAAGATCTGGACAATATCCAGGCTTGGGCTGACAAGTGGCAAGTAACATTCGTGCCATACAAATGTCACACTATAGCCATCACCAATTAGGGGCAATCTAATCACAGCCCCTTGACATTCAATGGTGTTACCATCACTGATTTCCTCACTATCAACATCCTGGGGGTTATCATTGACCAGAAACTCAACTGGACTCAACAATGGCCTCAAGAGCAGGTCAGAGGTGAGGAATACTGCAGTAAGCAACTCACCTCCTGACTCCCCAAAGCCTGTCCACCATTTACAGGAGTGTGATGGAATACTCTCCACTTGTATGGAGGGTTGCAGCTCCAACAACACTTAAGAAGCTGGCATCATCCAAAACAAAGCCCACTTGACTGGCACCACATCCACAAACATCCACTCCCTCCACCATTGACACTCGGTAGCAGCAGTATGTACCATCTATAAGATGCACTGCAGAAATTCAAAGATCCTTAAACTGCACTTTCCAACCCTACAATGACTGCCTTTTGAATCAATGTGTCAGTGCTCAGTTTTATACTGTTAACCTATTCAACTTGCATGCTTGTGCCTGTTGTTTGTGACAAAGCAAAGTCATTTAATGAGTACAGACAAGCAGCTAGAGAATGGAGACTGGTACAGAATGGTCTTGAGAATCAGCCTATAATCTGGCTCCCACTGCCAACTGATGGGCTATTTGGTTACCCGTTAGTATGGGCACCTCAGGAGGATGCTGGATGGATGATCCACTATGCAATTCTAGTTGAAGATTGTTGCAAATACTTTAGCCTTTTCTTTTGCACTTACGGTCTTGGGCTCTCCCACCTTTAAGGGCAGAGATATTTGTGGATCTTCCTCTTTTGGTTAGTTATTTCATTCTCCACCATCATTCACAAATTCAGTTTCAATCTGGAGGATCTCTGGATCAGTATGCATATTTAAATTGCTGGTTTATGCTGTAGTGTCTTCTGGTTCTAATTAATATTCAGTTCTTGAAGGGAAATACTCTTTTGGATCAGAAATGTGCTGCCTTGAAAAATATCCTGGAGTAACAATCATTTCCTTTAGTCTTCATGAAATAATGCGAATGAAATAATTCTAATGAAAGTATGGAAGATCCACAATTGCCTAGTTACAAAATAAAGCAGACTCCAGATGCGGGCACTAATGGAATTGGAGGGTTTATGACAAGCAGAATGAAGATGAAAGTACTGTTAGCTTATTTAGCTATTATGGCACAAGACAAAATTGGAACAGTAATAACAAGTGAATGAATCCCCAGCAAAATTCTACTGATCACAAAGTGCATTAGTCCTGTGTCTGAATGCGTTAATTGTAGAATTCTAACTGCATTACCAGTTAGTGCTCATCTTTCATTAATATGTAGATCAGATGGGTTAAAAATATTACTTTGAATGTACATTAAAGAACAAAATAACAGAATACAATACATCCTGTTTGGTTTTAGTTTATGTTGACAATGCATTGGGGTCACGGAAGAGAGTTGCAACTCTAAAAATAGCTAAATTAAGCCAGTTTTAAAGTACTGGTATAGTAATAGACCTCTTTCAAGGAAAATCGCCCTAACCTATCCTCATAACTGAAGTTCCTCATCCCTGGAACCATTCTCGGAAACCTCTTCTGCACTCTCCCCATTATGTTTCCATCCTTCCTATAATGTGGCTCCCAGAACTGTACAATATTTCAGCTGAGGCCTAGCTAGTGTATTATACAAGTGAAACATAACCTCCTTGCTCATGCACACTATGTCCCTGTTAATAAAACCTAGCCTATTGCATATTTTAACTGGTCTCTCCACCTTTCCTACCACCTCTAGTGATTTATGCACATGTACACCCAGGTATCTTTACTCCTGCATACCTTTAAACTAGTGATCTTTATTATATACTATCTTTCCATGTTCTTCCTACAAAAAATACATCATCTCACATTTCTCCATGATGAACTTCATCTGACACCTTTATGCCCACTTCACCCAACGGTAATGTCCACTTGATGTTCTACGCCGTCTTTGCATCACCTACAAACCTTAACTGTCCCCTTTACACCAAGGTCTAGATCATTTATATCAAGAAAAGCAAGGGTCCAATACAAATCCTGGGAAATTCCACCAGAAACCTTCTTCTAACCTGGAAAATATCCATAAACCATCAAGCTGTTTCCTACCACTCAGCCAAGTTGCATCCATGTTGCTGCTCTCCCAAGTTTGGAACAAATGCCTTTCGGGAGTTTGTGTATACCAGCTTTGCCCTCATCTACTCTATTACCTATTCAAAAACTCCAGCAAGTTGTACAGACATGATTTTCCCTTAATAAATCCACGCTCGTTCTCCATAATTAACCTGCTTTTGACAGTGTCACTCTTAATTCTATCTTGAAATATTTTTTGTTTCAGGCAATTTTGCAGAGGTTAGATAGTCAGGTGACATGCTCCAGAGGAAACTATCAAATGGAGAAATGCAACAATTGTAATGAGCAGGAAAAGCTACTGGCTAAGAACAAAGAAGCGAGGTCCATAGATTTCCAAATTGGTGTGAAAAAGTAGAATAAGAAAACATTGGAAATACTGAGTGATTCTGGAAATGAGTCTCATTAAGAAGTGACGACATACTGGAAAGGGAGCTGCCACAATAATTGTGCCGGCAGAGATAAAATTGGAAATAGAGGCAGTAGCTTGAATAGTTTAGAAAATGAAAGAGATCACAGAACAGAAGCAAATGTCCTTGTGATCATTACATTTTGACAACCGCCAATAAATTATTTGTGCAAAAATTATACAAAGGAATAAACTGAAGCTGGTTTGTTTGCGAGGTGTATGTGGTCAGTTATCTCTAATTATAAATGTGTAAAGATTAGCTCCAGTTTTATCCTTCACCACTTAAATATTTGCTGCAATGCAAGTCTTCCACCTTAATAAGCACTTTACATGTAGGCTATGGAATTGCTTAAAGTCAGTTCCTGATCTACAGTATGGTACCATTTCATCTCGGTTAGAATAGTGGCTACGGTACATACCCACGCCGTCTCAGGTACCACCAGGCGCCATCGACCCGCCCACCATGACAGCCTTGTTGGTTCCGGGTGTTGCATGAAATAAGATTCTGTGGAGATAATGCTGCTGTCATGTGCCCCATGGACTGGATGGAGATCCTGTCAGATGCCACAGCTAAGGGTGAAGGAACAAACATCAGACAGTTCATCAACTCATTATTCTTCAGTGTGATGCTCGCTGACATTCCCCACACCCCGCACCAGCTCATCAAATCATTATTCTTCCATGTGACACTCGTCAATATCCCCCACGCCCCGCACCATGACACTCGCCGATATCCCCCACGCCCCGCACCATGACACTCACCGATATCCCCCACATCCCGCACCGTGACACTCGTCGATATCCCCCACGCCCCGCACCATGACACTCGCCGATATCCCCCACGCCCCGCACCATGACACTCACCGATATCCCCCACATCCCGCACCGTGACACTCGCTGATATCTCCCACGCCCCGCACCATGACACTCACCAATATCCCCCACATCCCGCACCATGACACGCGCTGATATCCCCCACACCCCGCACCATGACACTTGCCGATATTCCCCACACCTCGCACCGTGACACTCGCCGATATCCCCCACGCCCCGAACCGTGACAATGATACACCCCATAGCAGATTGGGAAAGAGGAGCTAAAGCAGAGAGTTGATCAGCTGCTCTGCAGTTGGAAAGAAAATTAAAGTATTTCATCAGGCGAGTGGGGAAGTGATTGGTTGATGGGTATTTTCCAATTCATAGTAAACTAAAAAATTTCAATATGGGAATTATTAAATTATTAAAGTAGGTATAAGAAGTAACAATGGAGTGGCTGTTGGGTACTATTTTGTCTCTTTAGTTTTAAGTATGATTGACTATAATTGGTAAACCCTGTGAAGTATTAACATGCTGGTACTTAAAAAAAATCTAGGCACCAAATGGGACTTTGAACAAAGTAATTAAAATAATTTCTAAACCTAAGATTTAAAATAATAGTATAGGAGTTGGTGGTAGGTTTACTTAAAACTAGAGTCAGTCAAATAAGCAGGTTAAGCCAGCCAGTTAGCTTAATATCTAACAAAGGGAAAATGTTAGAAGCTATTATTAAAGCAGAGTACTTGGATAAATTCAAGGTAAATCAGGCAGACAGGATGCAATTTTCCAAAAGGAAAGTTATATTTGACCAATGTTTTTGGAGTTACTTGAGGAAGAACATATGCTGTGCATGACAGGGAACTTTTGGATGTACCTATACTTGGATTTCGTGAAACATTCAATCAGGTTCCACATCAAAATGATATTGTGGAAACTAAAAATCACGATGTAGGGGGAACTATTGGCATGGATAGAAGATTGGTTAGCTAGCAGGAAACAGCAAGTGAGCAGGATAAACACGGGACTACATGATGAACAGTATGATCCTGGGAACAACAGAAAATCAGAGGGACCTCCATTACATCTACACCCCTCATTGCAATATCCCAATATATCCCTCTCCACACTGCAACGTCCTGATATACTCTGCACCCTTCGCTGCAACATCCCAAGATACTTTGCACTGCTCACAGTGATGCGCCCCTCACTGCGATGTCCTGATATACCCCCACACCCTTCACTGTGATGTCTTGATATATCCCACATCCCTCACTGCGACACTCCAATATGCTCCATGCCCCGATATGCCCCACGCCCCTCACTGTGATGCCTCAATATGTTCCACGGTCTCAGTGTGCAGCTGTTACCTGCTGTCGAAAAGGCCCAGGAGGCTGCACAGTTTCCCTGGTCCATGGGTTCATGGATCATCCCTGGCCATTTATTTGCTGCATTGAAGTATCGAGGCAGGAGGTCATTACTGTCCATTTTCATCTGAAAGCAAGGGGCAAACTCAGTGTAAAGCAAGAGCTCGCTGGAACAGTGCAGGTCACAGACCTGACTTGATGATCAAATAATTGGCCCAGATTATATTTATTTTGAATTGGAGCTGTGTCCATCCTTGTCCCTTTATTTTTAATCTGTTCTGCAATTGGTATCACTGACCGGAACAACAATATTGCCCATCCTAATTTGCCCTCAAGGTGGTGGTGAGCTTATTAGATCACTGCAGTCCTTGGTTTAAAGAAACACTCAAAGTGCTGTTAAAGGAGGGTGTTGCAGGATTTTGATCTAACGACACTGGGGGAATAGCGATATATTTGCCAGTCAAGATGGTGAGTGGCTTGCAGGGGAATTTGCATGGGGACAGCAGCCGTGCATCTGCTGCTCTTCTCCTAGTAGGTTATACAGATTATGGGTTTTTAAAAGGTGCTGCTGATGGAGCCTTGGTGAGTTGTTATTGAGCATCTTGTAGATGGTACACACTGCTGCAACCAAAGATTTACTAGGATGCCACCTGGACTAGTAGGTTTAAGTTATGGGGAGAGGTTGGATAGGCTGAGACTTTTTTCCCCTGGAACGTAGGAGACTGAAGGGTGACCTTATAGAGGTCTATACAATTATGAGAGGTGTAGATAAGGCAGATAACCAACAGCTTTTCCCCATGGTAGAGGAGTCCAGAACTAGACAGCATAGGTTTAAGGTCAGAGGAGAGGGATACAAAAGGAGGGGCAATTTGTTTTGACACACAGGGTGGTGAATGTCTGGAACAGGGTGCCAGATATAGTGGTGGAAATGAGTACAGTGTTGTCATTTCTGAAACATTTCAACAGGTGCATAGATGGAATAGGTATGGAGAGATATGAACCAAATGCAGGCAAATGGGATGAGTTAAATTGTAAAAACTGCGCAGCATGGACAGCTTGGGCCAAAGGGCCTGTTTCCATGCTGTAGACCTCAATGACTCTAACTGTGCGTCAGTGGTGGAGGGAGTGAATGTTGAAGGTCATAGATGTGGTGCAAGTCTTGCAAGCTGCTCTGTCTTTGGTGTTATTTTGCTTTGATTACTGTTGCGGCTACACTTAGAGGAAAAGCAGCACAGGACAGTGCTGAAGACATTGCTGAAGAGAGAGAATGGCCTGGAGAATACTACTTGTATCCCCAAGAATAAAAAAGACTGATTAAAGTTAAAAAAAAAAAATGGCCTTCCACAGCTGGGTGTATTCTACTGGCCACTGAAAAATGGGATTGATACAAGAATAAATTTGCATGGTAATTAAAAGGTACAACATCGATAGAGCAGTGAAAATGCAGATATAGACAGTGATAGCAATGGTGCTAAGGGCAGAGTGCGGTAAGGATTCCTACATTGCATTCAAGAAAATTTTCTACAGCAGAATGTTTCCAGTTCAACAATGGGAGTTACTGCTAGACCTGGTGACTGGGAGAGAAATGAAGTGATAGTTGGAGAACATCTACTGCATAATGATTATTAAATTAGAAGGTTTGCAGTGACTGCTGAAAGGACAAGGAACAATCAAGAGTTTGAAATAATTAACTGGAGAAGTGCCAAGAACAGATCTGATCCAGATAAATCACATTCAAAGATTGGCAGGGATAACTGCTGTGGAACAATAGGCTGCCTTTAAACTGGAGATGGTTCAAGTTGAGTTGAGCTACATTCCCAAGGGGTGGGAAAACAAAGCCAGAAGAGAATAACAGAAGGAAGAGAGAAAATGTAGCAGATAAATAGTGTAAATGACAGCAGATGGATGATACAACTGAGGGTCAGGTGGAATGTTGACTGTTCACGATTTTGGGGGTGGAGATTAACCATTAGGGAGCAGCAAAGGAGTTTATATTGAGGTAGAAAGCATGGTTGAAGCAATAAATAAATACTTTGCTTTGGTCTTTACCAAGGAAGATGATGTTGCAAAAGACACAGTAAAAAGAAAAAAAGGCATTTGAAAGAAAAGAAAGGCAGCTGTTTATAAATTAGTAAGTCACCTGGACTGGATCAGATGTATTAAAAAGACTAAAGGGTGTTGTAAATATCTAGTTCATAGTTCAAATATTTTATTACATTAATTTTAATATTGAAAAGTAAAAATTACCTGTAAAAAATAGAGGAACTTCAATTAAAGCAAGCTTGGAATCTATTCCATTTAAAATGATGGGGCTATACTGTATTGAGAGGTTAACATCTAGATAGACGAGATGATAAAACAGCTAGTGGGCTCACTGGATACACAATGTCTGTAGCCTTTGCAGTTAAGGCAGCCCAGCAGGAGAGTTCAGTTTCTGTTTTGCCCTTTGAAATAGCCAAGTAAACGTTTCAGTTGCATCAACTACTAAGTCACAAAACAAAGGAACAAAACAAGTCGGACCACCTGGCATTGACTAACGAAATTCAGCTCTGTTGATCCTGCAAAGTTCACCTTACTAACATCCGGGTTAATGCCAAAAGTGGGAGAGCTATCTCACAGACTAGTCAAGCAACAACGTGACCATCATCTCCTTATACAACGCCATCTAAGCCCACGGCCACTTTCATCTGGAAGGACAAGGACAGCAGATACATGGGAATACAACCCACTGAAAGTTCCCCGCCAAACCACCCCATTTCTTGACTTGCAAATATATCACCTTTCCTTCACCGTCACTGGGTCAAAATTCTGGAATTCCCTCCTTAATGGCCATGTGGGTCAACCCACAGCAGGTGGACTGCAGCAGTTCAAGAAGGCAGCTCACACCACCTTCCAACAGCTATTAGGGGTGGACAATTAATGTTGGCTTAGACAGTGACATCCACATCCCATGAATGTTTTTTTTTAAACTAATGTCCTGGAGTGGGACCCAAATCCAGACCTTCTGGCTCAGAGGCAGGGGTTCTCCCCACTGCACCAAAAGACTTCCTCAGTGGGTAGCTTGCTGGCTTCTAAATGTAAATGTTTCGTGGGTTTGAGACAAAAGTGCTTAATCCAGGACAACACTCCTCCTGCAGTACTGAGAGGGAGTGCAGCACAATATTTTTGATGAGATATCAAACTGAAACCCTACATGCAAATGAAAAATTGCAGGATTTATTTTGAACAGGAGCAGCTGTTAATCGATACCGAAAACAGATATGTGCTCATTACATCCTTGCTGTCTTGTTGTTTCAGATTTTTTAATCAACTTGTTCAGAGAGGTTATGACATACCTCTGGGGCAGGCGGGACCTGAACCAAAGCCTCCTGGCTCAGAGGTTGGGACACTACCACTATACCACAAGAGTCTCAACATAACTTATCATTACAGATAACAGCCTGCAGGCAGTCGAATCCACACTTCCAAGGAGACTGAAGACAAAATCCAGTGCCTTAGCCTGCCTGGTGATACAAACTGGTTGCTGTGTGCGCTATATCACAATGCTGTATTAATAATACTGTATCACTGGTTATAAAATTCTTTGGTGGCCTGAGCATATTGAGGCTGCGATATTCTTGGGAGCTCATACTTTCTTTAATGACAATGTTATGACCAGATAGATCAAAAGCCTGACTTTTGCTGCATGTTTTACGGATACAAGAGCCTTTCTCTAAATTCGACTGTCCTTACTTCAAAAATGCAAGAACGAGCAGCCCGAGTAGAACAAGACATTTTCTAACTCATCCATATCATACTTGGTTCCTGTTTTGTAAATAAACAAGGCAGTGAAACATGACATTGAGATAAAAGGAGAGGACATTTCAGGAATGAGGATCATCTGATTGCATAAGATGTGGGGATCATTCCTGGTGTGTTTCAACAATGATGCAGGATTTAAGAACCATCCCTAAACTCTGTAAATCAGCTAACACACTTAGGGATCACCACAACCAAGAACAACTAGATTTAGCTACTATCCTCAATGAAAATTTGGTTAGAAGTTTATGAAGAATATCCACTCCATTCTAAAAGCTTGCTGTAAAAATGGCCAACAATGAAGCTGTTGTAAAAGGATTGTGCGCCTGAGTGCTAACCCTTTACTAGGAGGCACCCTGTTGTCTCAGAAGCACAATGGATGGTCAACAAATTCCTCATATTTCTGCATTGAGTTGAGCAGGTATTCCTGAGCTAAATTAATTCGGGAAGATTCTTTGTGATGCTGGACTTTGGAGAAATCGCCAAAGACTGGATCTACGGTGAGGTAATGTCATTGAAATGAGGCATTCAATTGTAAGAAAGTAGTACAAAGTCTTAATATATGTACAAAATCCAAGAATGTACAAAGTACAAATACAAAGTCTCGTGTATGCTGGGAATCTGAAATAGAAACTGAAACACAAAACTGCTCAAAATAGTCAGTGGCCCAGGCAGCATTTGTGGCTAGTGTGAGCAAGAGTGAGAGAGCATGCGAAAGAGGGAGAGCGAGAGAGATAGAGAGACAGAAAGAGAGTCAGAGACAGAGACAAATTAAATGGGATCATGTATCCCACCTAGGTGCAGATTGCCCCACCAGAGTCAGATAATTGTGAGGATGGTGTTTTGTGGGCCATCCCAACAAATCAGTGATGGTCGGGTGGAACAACCAGTGGGGGGTGTATAGGAAGACAAATGAGAGCTCAGATTATTGCTACCGGAGAACAGACACCACAGGTGACTGCTGGGACTTTTCTACAAATGGAATGGAATGTTTGGCTACTGGCCTGGACAATGGGCTAGAAATTGGGCAATGATGTCTTAGGAAAGTCATGGAGGGAAATTATGTCCTATACAAAATTAAAAATGGGATAAAACTGGGCATGGTGGCTCTGTCGTTAGCACTACTGTCTCAGTGCCAGGGACCCGAGTTTGATTCCACCCTCGAGCGACTGTGTGGAGTTTGCACATTCTGCCCGTATCTGCATGGGTTTCCTCCAGGTGCTCCGGTTTCTTCCCATAGCATACGGATGTGCAGATTAGGTGGACTGGCCATGCTATGTTGCCCATAGTGCCCGGGTAGGTTTAGGTTAGATGGATTGGCCGTGGAGAATGCAGGGTTACAGGGACAGGATACGGGGTGTGTCTGGGTGCGATGCTGTTTGGAGGGTTAGTGTGGACTTGATGGGCTGAATGGCCTGCTTCCACACTGTAGGGATTCTATGATTTCTATGATTCTATTAAACTAGCCAGAAATGCGCTCTTATCTGTTTGTCCAAGGACACCCAGCACACAAAATGGGGTGATTTTAAAACACACAGACAAAACCCTGTATGACCACATACACTATGAATTGGTATCAATGGTGTTAAGGTTTATCCAGAACCCAGTTGCCAGAGTGCTGTCCTTCCCAACTTCAGAAATTTTTTGTATTTGAGCCTTCGGCTATTAGGATGGAAAACAGCAATTGACATGGGGATGGCCAGACCCAAGCCAGCGGGGTATAGGAAAAGCCACATGTTGAGTGATTTGGCCACAGCTTACGGAGCAGACATTTCCACAGTCAATACCCTCTATTTGACTAATTTGGATAGTAAACTCAGATTTTTAACCCAACAGACCTTTGGTAAAATTAATCTGGACAGTTGGCAAGATGCCGAGGGGGAATAAAAGAAAGCCAGGCAGACTAACACCTGGTAATGCCAGGACCATAAACATGATCAAATGGAGAAAGGTAGATGATGACAGTAGGCAACAGACTAGGGTGATTTATGGCCAGTGGATGGTTGAACAGTTGAGGGAGAAGCTTGAGCAGGCTAATCAAGGACAGGTCCCATCTTGGATCAGTAATAAGCAGATACACCATTTGGGCTGCAAGAAGAGACACCCAACATTCCAAATTCTCAATTACAGTGATGGGCTAGTTTAACAAAGATTAATGGAATCCCAGAAAACGGCGTGGAGATTGTATTGGGAATCCAATCATAAATCACTGAAGCATTAACCTACTAGTGTTACATAGTGTTTTTGCACAGCAGCAGGAGGCCATTCAAGCCCATCAAATCTATGTACAGCAAATCAATTTCTGTACTTGATTCCAAAGTCCTGTCAGTTTATTTCCTTCAATTTCATTTTGAAGTCATTGATTATCTCCACGTCCATCACACTCAAAGACAGTGAGTTCTAGAGTAATACCATTCGCTGCGTAAAAAAGGTTCTTTCCCACATCCCTTGTATTTTGGTGTCTTACTGTCCTTGCACCATCAGTTAATGGAGGCAGTTATTCTGGTTTCCTTTATCCAAACCAGTAAAATCTCATCCACCTCTACTACACGTCCCCTCAATCTCCTTTGCTGCAATGAGAACAACCCCTATATATGCTGTCGTGTCTATGTGCCATTGCTCCATCTACCACAAAGCTTGGCCTTACGTTGAGTTCATTCATGTTCATCACTGTGTTTGAGGGTCGCCTGGTACCCAATCGGTATCGGATTCCTTCATCCAGAGTCAATCCCCAGAACTGGCTGTAGTTTGAAGCCCTCCATCTGGCGAGAGAAAGATAAAAGACCATCAAACGTCAAGCATGAACCTTATTGAGAAAGCCAGGTTTCACCATTCCGCGTGCTCAGTGCCCGAGAAAACTGTCGATGGGATTTAAACCAAGTTTGTTGCCCACTCTCTGCAAATACCTATGTAATGAGTGTTCAACAATACTGACTTCCCCATGCCAGCAGGAAAACACTGTAATTGGAAACAACTACTGGCCTAAAGTAGGCAATATCAGACCAGCTGTTTGCTGCCTATCACATACCTGCTCCCTATCTAATTGGTTCAATATTATCCATCTTAAGCTGCCATCAAACATTAAAATTACCCCTGAAAGAACAAACACATTAAATCAACAAGTCATCATTAGATGACACCATGATTGGATTTTAAATGATCAGAGACTTGTAATCAATGAGCAAGTGATCATTTAATAACGTTGTATGTGTGAGTAACACCAGGGCTGGCATGCTTAAACACTGCATAGGGACTACTCTTAGTGTCAGAATGAGTAGCCCGAAGAACGAGCCAATGTTGGGTTCAGAACCTCATCTCAGAGCAGCAAAACAGATGCACCCACTGGGCATCACCAGGTAGCTCACTGGTGAAGACTCTAATTGTGAACAGTCTATATTTAGGTCTGGGAAGGTGGGAATATGAAGGGGAAGGAGTCGTCTCCCGGAGCAAAGGATATAGGTCAGTCCTAGGCCGGGACAAGTTTCAATCAACATTGGGGTGGAAGAATTGGTTGTCATCAAATGTAGAGCAGAAGGAACACTTGCTTTGTTGGAGGAGGTCTGCAGCTGTCCCATTAAGGACCATTGGTTAGGCCACACACAACGAGGATCTGCTTTCCTGAACTTAGCAAGTCTGCTGCCAGCTAAATTTTGGTCAGCCCAATTTGCATAGGAACCTCCCAAGATTCTGTGTGCAGATTAATTTCCCTGTAACAATATGGCAGGTGGTGTGTTATACATACACCTTCCCTCCTTGCCATATTGGAAGCTAATGTATCCATGAGTGGTACTGTAAAGCAGGTCAGTAATACTACTACAGAACACACATGGACTTCAGTAACACTGCTGCAGGACGCGCACACACACACACACACACACATGCATGAGTAACATGGATACAGCACACACAAGCATATTTCAATGCATTATAGTGCACTGATATGTGGATGAGATTGTTTCCTTGTGTCAGACTTTGCTGAAGGATGACACTTACCCATAATTTCCTCGATTGATGTTGTGGATCATTTCCTGGTTGATGAGACACATATGCTGCTCACAATCCCATTGGCCACTGCTGCAAGTGCTGAAGAATCACACACCATTAAAGTCATTATACAATTCAAAACAAGTCAGAACACCATATGAAGAATTGCAGTAAGAGAGAGCTATTGTCTACATGAATAATTGTAATAAGAATCACCATACACCAGTTGCCTGAAATTTAAATAATAAATGAGAAAGAAATATGTGACATGAAGTCATGTGGTGATGAGGCCAGTAGTACAGAAGTTCAAACTGTCTGGAATTGGAAAATGAGCCTGATTTTTTTTGTTATTCATTCGCGGGATGAGGGACCGCTGGCTAGGCAGTGTTTATTGTCCGTTCCTAATTGCCTAGAGGACGGTTAAGAGTCAACTACATTGCTGTGGGTCTGGAGTCACATGTAGGCCAGACCAGGTAAAGATGGCAGTTTCCCTTTCCTGAAGGACATTAGTGAACGAGATGGGTTTTTCTGACAATTGACAATGGATTTATGGTGATCATTAGATTCTTAATTCCAGATATTTTTATTGAATTCAAATTCCATCATCTGCCATGGCAGGTTTCAAACTCGGATCCCCAGAATGTTATCTGGATCTCTGGATTAACAGTCCAGTGATAATACCATTAGGCCATCGCCTAGCACAGTCAATCAATTCTCTCTCAAACCAGTTTACACGGTGAGAGGGGCCAATCTGAATGTTCTGTATGTAGCGGTCGTCGCGATTGGGGCCAACCTCATATTTCGCTTAGGAACCCTGCAGCCCAATGGTATCAATGTGGACTTGGCAAGCTTCAAAATCTCCCCTCCCCCAACCGCATCCCAAAACCAGCCCAGCTCATCCCCGCCTCCCTAACCTGTCCGTCCTTTCTCCCACCTATCCACTCCTCCCACCTCAAGCCCCATCCCCACCTTCTCCCTACCAGCCTCATCCCACCTCCTTGACCTGCCCGTCTTCCCTGGACTGACCTACCCCACCCTAACTCCCCACCTACACTCACCTTTACTGGCTCCATCCCTGCCTCTTTGATCTGTCTGTCTCCTCTCCACCTGTCTGCTCCTTTATCCATCTTCCATCTGCCTCCCCCTCTCTCTCTATTTATTTCAGAATCCCCTTCCCCTCCCCCATTTCTGAAGAAGGGCCCATACCCAAAACGTCAGCTTTCCTGCTCCTCTGATGCTGCTTGGCCTGCTGTGTTCATCCAGGTCTACACCTTGTTATCTCTGTTTACACTGTGAACTGGATTTGCACCAAGTATCTGCAATTCAATAAGGCAGCAATAGTCCCAGCTCTAAATCATTTTCCAAGGCTTGCAGCCTCGATGTTCCAGTGAACGCCCATTATGCGGATAAGGAAGACTACAGGTCATTCAGACCCAGGAAGAGAGTTTCCATGGAACACACCCTGAAGTTTTCCTGTTCACTAATGAAACCTGCTGAGTTTCATTTGTCTTAGAAGTAGTCACAGTTAGGTATTAGCCATGGTAGAGATCACATCGGTCACATTTCATACTTCTGATGACTGGTGGAATAGTGGGGTTTTATTTCCAGAACATTCTTCACACCGGAGTCATGGCAATGTTGAATTGTGAGGTGGGATGTTAAACCAAGGTTTTGTCTGTCACCTCAGGTGGGTGCAAAAACTTCCAAATAGGAGCAAAGGAGATATCCCTGGGGTGTCCTCATCAATATTCGTCAGAAAAACTGATTATCTGCTCATAATCCCACTGCTGTTTGATAAAGAATTTGCTGTATGTAAATTGGTTGCAGTGTTTTCTACATTACAGACTACATCAACTTGTAGTTCAGCTGTGAGCTGCTTTGGGACATGTTGAACTTGTGACAGGCACTACAGAAATGCAAGACTTTAATTCTATACCTCCCCCACCACCATGTTAGTGACTGCAAACTCAGCAGAGAGGACTGACCAGTTGCATCACATGTAATCCTAGTCAGCCACACACACTGCAGCTTTAATCATATTTAAACTATTTCAGACCAACAACAGGACAAAAAGCCCTTTTTAAAAATGTTAAACTCCTCCAAATAATTACACTTCTGTTTGATATTTGCTGCTCTTTGATTCTTTCCATGAAGTCACTAAGTGAATGATTACAGGGTCAGTGCTGTGCAAAGCAGAACAAATTGACTTGTTTATGGAGAGCCCAATCCTCAGGGGATGTTTCTGAGCAGCTACTAATCAACAGTTTGAGCGAGACAAAGCAACTTGACATCCACGGTCATCAGTTCCACAGGAATGTCAGACACTCTAGGCTTGATTTTACCTGGAGATATATGCCTTGCTCCCCTGGTGCCTACAGAGAAGACAATCACGAGGCCACTGACTGAGAATGCACTGCCTGTGAGAATACACGAGCAGCAGCCTGGATTGTTTCAGAGTGTCCCTTTGACCCCATCTGGGAAGAACTCCTGGTCGAGAAAGCTGTTTGCCAATCCAATTGGCTTGCAGCTCTGTAGTCCCAGGGTCAAGCAGTGGCCACTGCTGGGATTGCAGGCTGTCTATACAGGATTGAGGGACTACGAACTTGAAGGCAGTGGTGGGGGCGGTGTGTGTGTGTGTTGGGGGAGGGCGGGGTGCGCAGAGAGATCACCGGATGATATGAGATCAGTGACCATTGTCATTAGTGGCAATAGCCTGGTGTTCAATGGTGTGAAGATAGGAGGAGGTGACTGAGTGCTGGCACTCACCTCTGCAATGTAGATGTCAGTACACCAGCATCACTCTGGTTGGCAGGCTTGATTATAAAGTCACCATTAGATTTGACAGCATAGAGTGCAGTCAGTTCGGAGGGAGATAGGTTTGAATGGGTAATGGAGGAGTGGGTGGGGGAGCGGTACAGATAAATTAAAGGGCTCACATGCCAGACCATACCATCACATGGCTGCAACACAACCATCCCATTGTCAGCTACCAATGGTTCCAATTAGATTCCTCCAGGCTGTTCTTTACCCATTCCTTCATCTGTCCAAGTATTTTCTCTCTCTCAAGGCTTTATATCCACCCAGCATTTTCTTCTTCCTTCCCTACCCCTAACCCATCTTTAGCATGTATACTAACCTTTTCCTAGCTATAATCAGTTCTGGTCTTGAAATATTGTTTTCTCTCCACAGATGCTACCAGACCTGCTGAGTTTTCCCAGCAATTTCTCTTTTTGTTTCTGATTTCCCACATCCACAATTATTTGGTTTTTTTGTTTAGCATTAACTGTGATAGTTTTAGCGTGCAAGGTAGGGTTGAAACAAACTTCCAAAACTGCAAGCAGGAGAGTGTTTTTAGCTAATATGTAGAAAGCCCAACAATGTACGGGCAGTTCTGGACCTGATATTCCAAACAAGCCTTAGCAGGTGGAAGTTGCATCTGTAGAGGAGTATTTTGGAGATAGTGTCCATAACTCAGTTAGATTCAGGATAGTCGTAGAAGCCGGGAATAAAAGTTCTAAACTTGGGAAAGGCTAATTTTATTAAGATACAATTTGGCCAACTGGATTGGGAGCAGTTACTTGCAATTCAATCTGTATTAAAATAGGCGGGGAGCATTTAGAACATAGAACATAGAACAGTACAGCACAGTACAGGCCCTTCGGCCCACAATGTTGTGCCAAACTTTTACCCTTATCCTAAGGTCTATCTAACCTCCACTCCTACCTTATTGCCTATACCATTTAAGGAGGAAAGAATGGGTGCACAGGTTAAATAGTTCTCATAAAGACTAAAGGGTAGGATCAAGACCATAGAGCCCTGGATGTCAAAAGGATATAAAGTTTAGGTCTAAGAAAAGCTTGTAGCAGATATTGAGAGCTCAATATGGCTGAGTCCCTAAAGGAGTATAGAAATGTGCAGGGAGGAAAAGGAAATTAGGAGAGCTAAGAGTGGATAAGAAAGCATTGGCTGATTGGGTACCTAGATTGTGTATCCACTCAAGTTCAGAAGAATGAAAGATGATCTTATTGAAACATTTAAGATCTTGATGGCTGTGGATAGGGTGGATATCAGGAAGATATTTCCTCTCGTGGGGACTAAAAACAAGGGCACACAATTTAAGAATAAGAGGCTTCACTTTCAAGTCAGATGAGGGAAAACCTTTTCTTCCCTGGAGAGTCATTCATCTGTGGAATCCTCTTCCCTAGAGGACAGTACAGAGAGGCTCATTAAATTTATTCAAGGCCAAGTGAGTTAGATTTTTGATGAACAATGAAGACAAGGGTAACAGACAGGTAGACAGGAAGTTGGAATAGAGACCACAACCAGATCAAGCCATGATCTTATTGAGTGATGGATCAGGCTCAAAGGGCTGAATGGCACAAAGCTGCTCCTAAATACAGAGGCTGAGATTTTCCTTTGGTTTAAGTGTGAGGGGACACCTCTTTAAGGGCAAAAGATCCTCCCTCATCTCACCTAAATCATGAGAATATCCACCAGATTAAGTGCCAATCAGATACTTAGTCTTCCTGCCCTTTCACATGCTGCAGTCCAGAAGTCCCATTTCTCAGTTACAGGTAGATGTCAGAGAGCAGCCATTCCTTACAGCAGAGGGCTGTCGAGACTCGGTTAGTACGATCATAGAATTCTACAGCGTGGAAGCAGGCTTTTTGTCCCATTGAGTCTACCCCAACCCTCCGAAGAGAATCCCACACTCCTGCCCTGTCCTTGTCATCCTGCAATTCCCATAGCTAATCCACCTAGCCTGCATATCCCTGAACACTATAGATAATTTAGCATGGCCAATACACCTAGTCACCTAAGTAAGTATAATCATGGCTTAGGGAGACAGTTTTAATCAGTAAGGAAATCAAGGGCTGGGGGAAAAGGTGGATTTGAGGATTATTAGAGGCATGATCTCATTGAGTGGTGGAACAGTCTGGATGGGCTGACTAGTCCACTTCTGTTCCTATGTCTTATGGTCTATACCAGGCTGCTGCACAGACATCTAGATGAAGGATTCTTGTTCACCAGGGTAGTCTCAGGCAGAGGCTTTTTAAATCTTAGAATTGTGTAAACTGGAAGAAAATTTGATTGCATTCTTTAAAATGTTACAGTTTAGTTAGTAGCAGACATCTCTCAGTCACAAGGTTGTGGGTTATAGCCTCACTTCAGGACATGACAATCCCTTTTGATGTTCCTGCGCATGTTATGACATTGTAGTTTTGTGGGAGCTTCCTGTGCTTAAACTGGCCATGTTTCCTTCATTACAAGAGTGACTAGACTTCAAAAATGATTTCTTTAGCTCTATAACAGTTTTGTTTGTTGATCCTGATAAGCATAATATTCATAAAACATCTTCTTTCTCCCTTATAAATAAAAAAAGGCAAGTTTCAGCTACAGTGGAGGTACTAATCCAGTTAGATGCGTTTGACATGGTTGGCAACAGAAAATACAGACTGAATCATAGAAATAGCTGATGTATCTGCAGGAAATGCTTTTACAAAGAGCAAAGGGGAAAAGAAAAAGACCCTCCACAGACAACCAAAACTGGACAAGAAATTCGGATCTTCACCTTAAATAGGAGGCACCTTATTTTTAAATTGTGTCCCTTAATTCTAGTCTCTCCCATAAGGGGAAACATAATTTTAGCACTCCAAGCTGTCAAGTCCCCTCAGGATCTTATGTTTTAAGAAGATCAACTCTCATTCTCATGAACTCCAATGGATATAGGCTGAACTAATTCAAACCTTCCTCACAAGATAACTCCTTCAACCACAGCAATTAGGAAGGGGAACCTTCTCTCTACTGCTTCTAAAACACATTTATATCCTTTCTGAAATAAAGAGATGCAGACTGTATACTGTACTCTAGATTTTGTCTCACCAATGTCCTGTAGAACTGTCACAAAACATTCATACTTTTATATTCCATGCTACTTGTAATTGACAACAGCATTCAATTTGTCTTCCTAATCACTTCCTATACGTATAGAGAATAATTTTGAGTTTCACGGAACAGATCAGCCAAATTCCCCTGTACCGCACAGATGTAATTTCTGTCCATTTAAATAGTATGCTGCTTTTCTATTCTTCCTGCCAAATTGGCAAGTTCACATTGTACTCCTTCTGCCAAATCTGCCCATTCACAACCTCTCTTCATCCTTTTGCAGACTCCTCGTGTCTCTTCATAATTTACTTTCCTACTACCTTTGTGTCATCAGCAAATTAGCATCCATTCATCTAGTCTCTTCACCAAAGTCATTAACATTGATTGCAAATTGCTGAGGTTCCAGTACTGACTCCTGTGGTACTAAACTGGTTGCCAATGCAATCATTTTAAGCACCATTTCTCCCTATCTAACCAATCCTCAATCCATGCTTAGAATGTTACTTCCTATACCAGGAACTTTTATTTTATGTAACAATATGTGGCATCGTTGGTGAGGCCTCTTCTGGCAGTACTGTGCCCAGTTCTGGTCAACCTGTCATAGTAAGGATATTATCAAACCAGAGAGGGTTCAGAAGAGATTTACAAGGATGTTGCCGGGAATGGAAGGTTCGAATTATAGGGAGTGGCTCGTTAGGCTGGGGCTTTTTTCACTGGAATGTAGGAGGTTGAGGGGTGACCGTATAGAGGTTTTTAAAATTATGAGGGGTACAGATATGATGAATGGCAGCTATCTTTTCCTTATAGGGGCATATTTTTAAGGTGAAAGGAGAAAGCTTTAAAAAGGATACGAGGGACAACTTTTTTTTTACACAGACAGTCATTCATGTGTGGAATGAACTTCCAGGGGAAATGGTGGATGTGGGTACAGTCAAGGAGAGGCGATGGCTTAATGGTATTATTGCTGGACTGTTAATTAGCTATAATGTTCTGAAGACCTGGGTCGAATCCTGCCGCAGCAGATGGCAGAATTTGAATTCAATAAAAAAAATCTGGAATTAAGAGTCTAATGATGGCCATGAGTCCATTGCCGATTGTCAGGAAAAACCCATCTGGTTCACTAATGTCCTTTAGGGAAGGAAACTACCATCCTTACCCGGTCTGGCCTACATGTGACTCCAGACCTGCAGCAATATGGTTGACTCTTAACTGCCCTCTGGGCAATTAGGGACAGACAATAAATGCTGGCCTAGCCAGTGATGTCCTCATCCCATGAATGAATAAAGGAAAAAAAAAGTCACATGTTTAAAAGACATTTGGATAAGTAATGAATAAGAATGGTTTGGAGGGATAAGTTTTGTTTGGGATTATGGTCAGCATGGACTGGTTGGACCAAAGGATCTGTTTCTGTGCTACATGACTGTATGACATCCATTTTTTAAAATTCATTTGTGGGATGTGGGCATCGCTGGCTGGCCAGCATTTTTTGCCCATCCCTAGTTGCCCTTGAGAAGCTGCCACTTCTACAGGTTCCCCTTTACCGATGTTCCATGTTACTTGCTCAAAGAACTCTATTAAATTAGTCAAACATGATTACCCTTTCAAAGAACAAAGCTGACTGTGCCTGATGATACTGAGAATTTCTAAGTTGCCCCCTACACCCTGCTAATAAGACATTCCCAGCATTTTCCCTACAGCAGGCATTAGGCTATTTGGCCTCCCTTTCTTGAATAGCAGAGTTACATTCACTATTTTCCATTCTAATTGGGTCTTTGAAATTGGAGAGAACTTGAAAATTAAGATCAAAGCATTTACTAACTCAGCAGCCATTTCTTTAAGATGAAGTCCATCGGGTGTGGGGACTTGTCAGCTTTCAGTTCAAATTATCTGCTCAGTACTCTTTTCCTGGTGGCCAACTGTTTTCAATCCCTCCCTCCTTTTCACTTTGCGATATACTGTCATATCTGCGATGTTACTTGTATCCTCTGTGAAGACAGACAAAATATTTGTTCAATTCATGTGCCATTTCCTTATTTTGAATTCCCCAGATTTACTAAAGGACCAACTCATTTTATTTATTCATTTCCTTTTTAAATAGCTAGAGCCACTTTGTAACAATTTTTTGAGTGTCACTTCACCCCAAGGACTGCTGCAGCAGTTCAAAGCAGCCCATCAATACCTTCTCGAGGGCAATTAAGGATAGACAATAAATCCAAGCCAATAAATCCAGTGATGCCCCTATTCCACTAGGAAATAGAAAAAAAACTAGAAAGTGTTTTATTTCTAGCTAACTTTCTGTCATTGTGATTTTTTTATTTATTAGTCAGCCTTCACCTTTTTATTCACATTCTGTCCAATCTTGTGACTTGCCACTCATCTTTGTAGAATTGTATGATTTTTCTTTCAATGTATACCATCTTTAACTTTTTTTGGTTAACCACAAATGTTAGTCCTTTTCCTATAGTCTCTCTTTCTTCTCGGAATGTATTTTTCTGACTGGGTCAAATGCTGACACGCAAGTTGTTGACAGATTCAGTGAATGACGATTGACTGCAAACATTCAAAGGAACTTGAACATACTCAAGCAGGAGCACAAACTGATCACTCTTGGTACTTGATGAGATCCAGAGGCTGCTTAGAAAGATTTGGGCTACTCAGCTCCCACCTGGGGTGCAAGAATTCCAAGGCTCCTATGATGCTGCTTGGCCTGCTGTGTTCATCCAGCTCTGCACCTTGTTGTCTCGGATTCTCCAGCATTTGCAGTTCCTACTATCTCAGAAACTACAGACAGTTGTGCATGCAGCCCAATCCATCACGCAAACCAACCTTCCATCTATTGACTCCATCTATATTTCTCACTGCCTCAGGAAAGCAACCAATACAATCCTACCCCAGTTATACTCTCCATCAGGCAGAAAATATAGAAGTTTGAATACACATATGAATAGATTCAAGAACAGCTTCTTCCCCACTTTTGAACGGATCGCTCAAATGTTAATTCTGATCTCTCTCTCTCTCTCTCTCTGCACCTTCTCTGTGGCTGTAACACTGTATTCAGCACTCTGTTCTGCTATCCTGATGCACTTTGTATAGTACGATCTGCCAGTATAGCACGCAAAATGACACTTTTCACTGTATCTTGGTAGAAGTGACAGCAATAAATCAAAATCAAACTACATTGCTTAGCGAATTACCCCGCTCTAGAAAATGGGTCTCAAGGCGTGGGAGGGTATTAAAGCTGGGGGAGGGAGGCTGTGGAAAGCAGGTAGTTGGAAGAATGGGGGGGAAAGCTGTCGTATATAGGGTTAGGTCTGACCATGTAACATGCCAAAGGAACAGTATAGTCTCTGTTGCAGACCTGTGGCAAGATGAAACCATGGTAAGAAGTTTCTTAAACAAACTTATGTTTTCTTTACCTCAACAAACTGTAAATATTCTCCCACAGCAAAATGAGATAATATTAGAACCGTGTTGCTAAGGGGAATGCAGCAGGCGAGGGAGGGTTGAAACGGTGATATGACAGGCCTGGAGAAAATATCACATAGTTCTTCAGCAGTAACTGCACCAACGCGGAGATCTGCCTGTGGATGCCTCGAGCTTTGCTGGTTTGCTGACAACATGATGACTGTTTTTGCAGTGCTCCAACCTCCTGCTATTGGCTACTGGCAGTCGATGAGTTGCAGACACTAAGGGTGCTGTATGCCATGTTCAAATTTACCAGTGTCCTCAGTGGATAAAGCTTGTACTTGCTTTATTAACAGCATCAATAGGCTCCCTGCACTGCCAGAAGGTGGGAGCATGAGTTATAGTCAGCTTACAGAAGCTGCATCCAAAAAAAGGCTGGAAGTGTATAAAATCATGAGGGGCAAGGATAGGGTGAACAGTCAAGGTCTTTTCCCCAGGGTAGGGGAGTCCAAAACAAGAGAGCATGGGTTTAAGATGAGGAAGGGGGTGGGAAGATCTAAAAGGGACCTAAGGAGCAACTTTTTCACGCAGAGGGTGGTGCATGTATGGAATGAGCTGCCAGAGGAAGTGGTGGAGGCTGGTACAATTACAACATTTAAAGGGCACCTGGATGGGTATATGAATAGGAAGGGTTTAAAGGGATAAGGGCCAAATGCTGGCAAAAGGGACTAGATTAATGTTGGATATCCAGTCGGCATGGAGAATTTGGACCAAAAGATCTGTTCCCGTGCTGTACATCCCTATGACCCTATGACTTTCAAGTTGGCACTTCCCACCACACCCTCTCCATTCTACCCACCCACACGACCACCAACCCCCCCCCCCCCCCCCCCCACCCCCCCCCACTCTACCCACCCACACCACCACCAACCCCCCTCCCCTCCCCCCACAAGTCCAGGTGCTTGTTTTTCAATGTCTCCCTTATTTGACAGTTTTTATTTATAAGACAGCTTTAACGTGCCATTTTTGACTGATCCCTCCCTTTGTGCAGACAAAACACGCAGACAATTCTTTTAAGGAAAAGCTTGTTTGGAATTCCAGCATGTTTTGGCTGACGTATTGCCTCTTGTTTTGGCCATTAGTTCTGCAAGGTTACATTGTTAATGGGCCATTACGGAGCTGCTTGTTCCTCCTTTGCTGCACCCCACAGACTCATTTCCTTCTGTGTGTAAAAGCGTGGGCAATTACTGAATACTGAAGCTTTTCAACATAGACCTCAATTTATTGAACCCTAACTTCCCGTCACAGCTAGATAGGATTCATTGAAATTTAAGCTGCTGTTGCCTCCTCTCATTTTAAACCCATCCTCAAGGTCAGTTCACTCACATTCAGACTAACCGTCAGGACAGAAATGTCAAGAAAGACAAACGAGCAAAAAGAAGTGGTTTGAACTCCAACTCCTATCAAGATACAAACCTGGGTTAATTTTTAAAAATAAAACACCTTGGAATTCTATTCATCAACACAGAGTGTCCCAACATGCTTCACAGCCAATTAACTGCATTATGACATGTTGTCACTGATACACTGCAGGCAAATCAGACAATTTTCAGATGAACCCGAATGGCACTGACCCTTCAACAGCACAGCGCAACCCTCTCCCCAGCACTGACCCTCCAACAGCACAGTGCCCTCCCTCCCCAGCACTGACCCTCCAATAGCACAGCACAGTTCCCCCACTCTCCAGCACTGACCCTCCGACAGCACAGTGCCCTCCCTGCCCAGCAATGATTCTCCAACAACAAAGTTACCACAGCCCCCAGAACTGACCTTCTGACAGCACAGTGCGCCCCCTCCCCAGCACTGATCCTCCGACAGCACAACGAACCCCTCCCCCTCCCTCCCCAGCACTGACCTGCCAACAGAGCAGTGTCCCCCACACCTATAGCACTGACCCTCCAAAAAAGTGGTGCCCCTCTCCCCTGCACCGACCCTCCAACAGCATGGTGCTCCCACACATGAATGGAATGCCAGCCTGGCGTATACAGGGTCAATGCAACTGAGCCTCAGATATTTAACCTGTGTACTTTGGCCAGAAGAATAAAACAGCATCAAATTGTTTAAATTATTTAAACAGAGAGAGATTGTAGAACTCAGAGATGCAGAGGGGTTTGTGTGTCCTGGTACATGAATCACAAATCACAAAGGATTAGGAAGGCAAATTAAATGTAAGCATTTGTTGCAAGTCAAGTGGAATAATAAAGTAGAAAAGTGTTACTACAGACATACAGGGCATTAGTGAGACTGCATCTGGAATACAGTGTACAGATTTGGTCTCTTATGAAACAATACAATTGCATTTGAATCAACTCAGAGAAGGTCCATCCACCCAGGGGTTGGGATCCTCAACAGCAGGGAATCAAGTGCGAGGCTGGAAGAAGATACAGTATTCAGAAATAGCAAGTTGAAGAGACACGTCACATTAGAACAGTACAGGGAGTAGGGAATGCCATTATGGATTAAATTGCATCTATTTCAATGCAAGAGTGCTGCAGGTAAGGCCGATAAACTCGGTGTGGATAGGTACGTGGGGCTGAGATGTTATAGCCATTACAGAAACATGACTGAGGGAGGCACAGGACTGGCAGCTTAATGTGCCGAGGTACAGTTGTTCTAGGTGGGACAGAGGTGCAGGAAGGAGGGGAGCGGGAGTTGCACTTTTGATGAAGGGGAGAATCACAGCGGTAGTCAGAGATGAAATAATGGAGGGATCATCCAGTGAGGCTTTGTAGGTGGAGCTAAGAAATAAGAAGGGGATGGTGACATTATTGGGGTTGTACCATAGGCCCTCAAATAGTCAACGGGAATTAGTGGAACAAATATACAGGGAGATTGCAGAGACTTGCAGGAGCAATAGGATTGTCAAAGTGGGGGATTTTAATTTTCCTAACATAGACTGGGACTGCCATAGAGTTAAGGGCTTAGGTGGGATGGAATTTGTTAAATGTGTTCTGGAAAGTTTCCTCAAGCAGTATATAGAGCAGCCTACTCAGGAAGGGGCAAAACTCAAACTACTCTTGGGAAGTAGGCAGCTCAGGTGACGGAGGTGGCAGTGGGGGAGCACTTTGGGACCAGTGACCATAGTTCTATTAATTTTAATATAGTTATGGAGAAGGGCAAAACTGGTCCATAGGTTCAAGTTCTACATTGAGGCAAGGCAAATTTTGATGGAATTCGACAAGAGCTTGCAGGGGTTGATTGGAGTAGTTTGTTTGTAGGCAAAGGGACCTCTGGCAAATGGTAGGCCTTTGACCTCTAGCTATCACACTTTTACAGTCTATATGTTCCTGTGAGGGTGTAGGACAAGGTTGGCAGGAGTAGGAAACCCTGGATGACAAGAGATATTGAGGCGTTGTCCAGAAAAAAAGGAGGCATGGCTCAAGTACAGGCAGCTGGGATCAAGGGAATCCTTGGAGATTTATAGGGAATACAGAGTTTACTGAAAAAGAAAATCAAGAGGGCGAAAAGGGCGGCATGAGACAGCTTTTTGGCTGAGAAGATTAGGGTGAATCCAAAGAGA